CTGCCTGTCTCAACCCCAGGAGCCTCCCTCCCTCCCCAGTACCACAGCCAGCCTCTGCAAGGGGGAAGGGAAGACCAAGAGAAGCTCTTGGAAAAAGTGACGTTTTCTGCCTGCAGCTCCCTTGGCTGCTCGGGCAGCCAGAGCTGAGGGAAGGCGGGCGGTGATGGAGCCTTGGCAGGGCTGCCCCGCATCCCTCCCGCTGCAGTGGGGACAGGTGGCGGGGCCGGGCAGTGGCCCCGGGCTGGGGAGCTGGGGCAGGGTGGGCACGGAGCCCTCTGCCCTGCTGGGGAGTGATGGGGGTCACCGGGAGGCAGTGCCCCCGGCTCAAGGGTCAGCCAGGGCTGTGTCTGCTCTACTGCATCATCCATGGTGTCAGCAGTTCTGGGGTCCGGGTCAAGATGGGGGCTTCCCAGCTCTGCCCACAGTGCTCAAGGCCACTTGGGTCCTGCCTGCAGCTTGCCGGAGGTGGGCAGAGCTGCTGATGTGGCACAGGGATCTGTGGCTGGACCCTGAGAGTCCTGGCTGCTGCAAGCTCCTTCCACCTGGGTATATCCTGGGCTCTGCAGGGTACCAAGGCCTTGGGGACAAGGCCCAGGAGCACCCAGGGTGACCACACTCCCTTGGGGGATGGAGTGGCCGGTTCTGGGGTTGGGTCTGCCTCTGGAGCCGCTTACCTGCCCTCGGTCAGTGCAGCCTGGTTTGTCCTGGCTGGGAACAGCAGGTACCCTGCACACCCTGGGCTTGCTGTGTAGCGTCAATGTGTTTACACGGTGTGGGTTACTCCAGTCTAGACAAGCCCTGACCAAAAATACTTTCCCTGTGTGGAGGAAACTCCCTCGCCACATGGTGCATTTCTGTTTTCCTTTGAGAGCCCTCCTCCAGCAAGCCCTGCCCTGGTCCCCCAGCAGGGTCCCTTCCCCTGTCCCAGCCCTCCAGGCTGGTGGTTTAATAGCTGATGGTGTAAAACAAAGCTGGTGGGGAGCGCCAGGGCAGGGTGCCTCTGCCACAGGGTTTGCAAACGAAGGTCTGCAAAGGTGCAGCAGCTCCTGGGGTCGGGGGCAGCGAGGTACGGTCCAGGTTCCCGAGCTTGTCTGCTCAGTTTTCCTCTGGCCTGGCTGTGGTGCCCAGCAGCTGCCCCAGTTCCTGGCATTGCCTTGACAGCTGCTCTGTGCAGCCAGGAACGTGCCTGCTCCCTTCCCTTGAGATCCGATTTCGCCCCTTGGATGCATCTCTGGAAAAACCAGCCGGGCCACAATGCTGCAGTGTGCGGCTGCAAAGGGCAGGGCGGCATGGTGTGCGGTGGGGAGCTTGGCTGCTCCTTCCCC